GCTATTAGAACTTACTGAAAGTTTGTATCATTGCTATTAGAGCTTACTGAATGATACAAACTTTGAATCCTACACCAACTGGTGTTTCAATTAGAACTTATTGAATGATACAAACTTTGGTATTAGAACTTACTGAATGATACAAACTTTGCAATCCTACACCAATTAGAAGTGAAAAATTAATTATTTTAAGACAATGAATAATGAGCATGTTAGCCTTGTCATAAATAGTCACCTCTAGATAATGTTATAACTGTTCAACACACACACAAGTTTAGCATGCATTATAATTAGACTGATTTGGGTAAATATAAATTGTTTCTCAAGTTTGAATATCTTCATACCATAGACTAACAAACTACAAGGTTCAATGCATTTATTCAATCATGCACTTTATTATTATTATATGGTCAAACTATTTATTACGGACTGAAATAACAAGCTTATTCTAGAGACCATAATTTACAAGCTACCATGGTAATGTAGCATTTCTATGGGTTTCATGTACTCGCACCTTATTTGCCCATAGAACGTGTATCCCTAATAATTACAGGAAAGGTGCTCCCTGTTGCTTTTCCCATGACAACAGATATTATGCTTACTCCTTGACTTATATCCATGCACTCCATAACCATCTGGTTGATAAAAAAACAGAATTTAATTCCAGTAGTAAATGAATGGGTCAAGACTGGAAAACCAGTTCCTAAGCACGAGTTGACTCAAGTTAGGTAATGTTAACCCTTACTTTTAATCATTATAATCCACTAATATTTACACTGCTTTTCCTTAGAGACCTTCATCCAGTTAGAAGTTTAGTATTAACTTTGGTAGTTTCCCCACACAGATGTTACTCCCTCTCCCCATTATTTTTTCACAAGTATTAATGAAAATAATAGGTATAATTGAAGTAATACCTTACAGACCAGTAACCACATTTAACTTCATATCACAGTCTTAACATTGGGATCAAATCCTTTATTTCTATCTACATGTTTCTTAAAAGTTATATTCTTTGTGTAATTGATCCATTTGTGTTATTTAACATTTATGCTTGATTTCAGGTAATGCACATACATTTATTTACAAATATATATATATATATATATATATATCACCATTATATTCATTATGCATTGTTACATATAGGTTAAAACAAACTGCTTTTGGTTTCAACACAATTAAGATACCTTCTCAGGCTACATTTTGATAGCAGCAATGCAGTAATGCCACCTAGGAGCTGTCAAACTGAACACATTTTCTTTTCTGGCATCACAAAATAAATAATCTCTGAAGGAATTCAGTTAACCTAAGGCTTTTCACCTAAAAGTGAAATAAGTCAGAAAAAATATTGTGCTGTTACTACAGTATATATCAATAACACATGAAAAAGATATGTTCTTCAGGTGTACTGGAAGAGATCTAACAAGGACCATGGGGTATTCATAAAGAGTTCTTGCCACATAGCTAGATCAAGACAGTACTTCTCAGAATCACTAGGTAGCTTGAAGAGGAAGAGTCCAAAGGCCCTTTCAACTGAGTTTTATAGCTTCTAGCCATCATTCACTTGTACAAACTGTTGATAATCTATTTACCACAACTATTTACATCAGCCACCCTAATTGTGCTACTTGAACAGTTATCATCCAATATCTGATGGGTATTTTGAAAGTAATGGTCACGAAGTTATTTCTGCCCACCCAGCTGATCTTACAATCAACAAACCATCCAAACTTAATTGCAATCAAATGGAAATCATATAGTGTAGTACATATATTCTACAGTGAACATAATATGATAGCTTGGAAAGCTAGGATTGTTGCTACTTTTGAGGTAGTCATTCTTCAATCAGCAACTTTCCTAGCTCTTTTGAGGCTAATACATATGAAATGCGAGGTTGTCACAGTGTGTAATCAGTACCTGTATATATTGCTATAACAACATTAAAGAGCATGTGGTGATCAAATCATATGTTTGCTCACAGGCTTTCCCAGATAAACATTTAACTTGTAAAAAAGAAATAGGATCTTCCCAATACCCAAAGAAAAAAAAACTTGAAAAGTTCAGCATCCAAAAACTCTTAAATCAATTTTTTGAAAGCAACACTAAATTCTAAAAACTAAATAAGTCAATAAAGAATAAACAATATGTTATACAAAACAGCAATACTATGTTTGATATGTTCCACAAAAAAAATAATAAAATAAAGCAAAAATTAGTGTTATTGTAATTCTAGCAGATAGAGAATATATGTATTTACTGCAGGAGCTAATGTGCCTTCATTCAGGTAATATATCTTTAAAAAGGTGTTTATTATTTATGAAGATCAATTTATGTTCAGCATTAACCTATGCTGCAAGAAAATGTGCTAAAATGTCTACAGTAAATACAATTGGAGAAAGACAAACCAAACTGGAAAAATTAAAAACTTTACAACTGTAGCCGTACCTAATACAGCCCCCAATAAGTAGTAGACACGGTACATGAAAATGTGCTAAAATGTCTACAGTAAATACAATTGGAGAAAGACAAACCAAATTGGAAAAATTAAAAACTTTACAACTGTAGCCGTACCTAATACAGCCCCCAATAAGTTGTAGACACGGTACATGAAAATGTGCTAAAATGTCTACAGTAAATACAATTGGAGAAAGACAAACTAAACTAGAATAATGAAAAAATTTATAACTATAGCCATACCTAATATGGCCCCCAATAAGTTGTAGACACGATACAATGTACAGTATTGATTAGCGAGTTCAACATTAAACTGATCTTACCTATTGGAATATTTTCTTTGTATAAAACTTCTATGTGCAATACACCAATAAGATTTTGCATCCATCGGGAATAATCCAACACTTCGTTAACCTTAGGGTTTGGAATTTGGAAAGCAAAGACAATTTTATTGGGCGTTACTCGTTCATCCTTGATAGCTTCAGGAGAATTAATGTTATTTATTGGATGACAGTTGATAGGCCTTCTATCATGTCCTCTTGGTATGTGCCAATGATCATCAAACGTGCCAGGTGAAAGAGCAGTGTCTACGAGACATTTTGTACCCAATACATTTTCCACATTGGATGGTGCAGGTGCTAACAAAAAATAAGTAATTTATATTTAGTCAATAAACAAACACAAGTAAGCATGATAAATATATTCTTAATATATATTTGTGATTGAAAAAACTTGTGGTAAGGCTGCAGCAGTCAAATATCAGTCGTTGTCATGATTAGTAGCCTATTAAATCACCTAAGTCTCAAACACAATTCACTAAGTAAAATTAGTCTAATACCAGCATTATATCAATGAAAGAAAAATGAATCTAACATTTTCACACTTTATTCCCAGTGTAAAAGTAGATGATCTGTATAAATGTATGAGACAGTGAACATGATTTTATGTTAACCAAACTGCTAATATAATGAGGTTTATTACTATTGGAGAGTAATTTTTAACACACTGATTGGGTTATTCTGTCGTTCTTCACATCTTGTATAATTGCTAGGAGTGGTGAGGGGGGAGAGTTGGTTTCTCATTCAGCAAGAAAAGATTCAACTAAACACGATGGATTATCAGACATTGGTTTTGATACTAAAGAGATTGATACTGATTCAATATTAAGAAATGTAAAATTGCACGTAGATGTGGAAAGCTGGAAAAACTTCAAGTGTGAGAGAAACAAAGGTATTATGAAGGGGGAGGATATAATCAGCATTTTACATGTGTTTCTTGATAAAACTCTTTAATTTCCTGCTGATTGTGTGGAAAAGAACAAATAAAGCTCTTGGTTCTATTTACAGGAATTTACAATTAATGACCATGAAGGTAACTAAAATTTGTTCAAGACTGGTCAAGCTTCAAATGGAAAAAGCTTAGGCTACCACTAAAACGATGCCATAAAGTACGTCTCTGAAAACTGAAATTTGTTTTTTCTAAAGTATAAAATAGTTAAGGCCTAAAATTGGTTTAATTCTATCTTTAAACCAAGAATCCATGTCTCTTACATTTAGGTTGTTCATCAACACCAGCTGTTGGCACAAAGGCTAAAGTATGAAAATGGTAGGAAGATTTCAAAGTTGTTTTTCCACAGTGAAATAATGTTACCATTTCCACACAGCTAACTTTTGGTAAAAGGTAGTGGCAAATGTAAGGAAAAACTGACAAGCAAACCAGATATAAAAACTTAAGTATTGATTTCATTACACAATATCTTCAATTACAAAGTTTTATAATGTTACATTATATTACAGTGGCAAGGAAATGACAGATGATATTTTTCACAAGCACAAGGATCATAACATACACATACCATTTTTATTTCAAGTTCTAGAAATATCACACAAATTTTGGTAATACATAATGTATAAAACTAAAAATGAAATATAAAAGAACAGTTTCACTAGCTAAATATAGGTGTATTTTTACTATGAAATTTTTGTTTTGTACTTAAGCCTTCAAGATTAGTGTCAACATATATGATCAAAGTAAACTAAACCCTCATTTTTACCAAACTGTTTTTATACCATTTAGTATAATTATTCACTGTGAATGTAGTCTATACCTTCCATTAAATTGAGCAATTTTATGTAATTGTCTAATACTAGTAATAATTATAAAAAAAAAATAAATCACTGCAATTAAAGTGTAATACTAATAAATATTAACCAAACAAATTGGGTAAAATCCCTTATTTTCCATGTAAAATAAATACGGAACCTTAGCAGTAATAAATGGATATAATGTTCAAGACCTTGTGTAAACAAAGTCACAAACCAACAACTTGAACAAGCAATTAGATGCATAAACAAAAAACTCAGTCATAATAACTCTTATTTCAATTGTACTAGTACTAAGGATGTGGTACATGGCTTACCTATACAACCGCCAATAAGGAAACATGCAATTTGACAAAGAAGTATAAAACTGACAAGAACAGCTAGTTTTCGTCCACTTAAGTTTTCTAATATTGTTCCTGACATTTTCAAATACGTATCGTATTCACTGCTTTAACTTTCGCAGATTCGGTAGTCTTTGTTCGTTTCAACAATATCTCTCAACTGAAGTTGGAATATATTTGTTCTTCAAGTAACCTGTCAAAATTCTACATATATATATATATATATGTGGTGAAGTAGTTAAACTTTTGATTTTGTTATGATTAGAATTTTTATTAAGATAAAAATATCATAATAAAATACTTATAAAAATATTAAAGTGTAAGATATAAAGTTTTAAAAAAATACATTACAACAACAATTTATTTAATAGGTACTAATAAATTAAAACTTTCTACTACTGACAATGTATTAACGTTTAAAAGATAGTTTTTAAAACAAAAAAGTCTAATGAGACAAAAGAGTAAAACTTAAAAAATAAAGGACCGAAGACAAAAAGAAAAATGCAAGGAAAATATTAGGCTGTAAATCACCAATTTATTGCCATCATATATAAAGTTTTTGCGCAAAAATTCTAAAACAATGAAACAAACAATGGTTTTTTTCTGGCGTACCCTGGTGGGACGGCAGTAAGTTTATGGACTTGCAACGCTAAAATCCAGGGTTAGATTCCTCGAGGTGGGTGCTGCAGTTAGCCCTATGTAACTCTGCTATAAAGCAAACACACATGTTTGTCTAACTCAAACCTACGACATGGCTATTTACGCTATCTCTGTCTCACGCGTGGAATCGAACCCAGAATTGTAAGACCATAAACTTACCGCTGACCCACTGAGGGTGTAACAGTAAACAAACGAACGCAATATTATATATTTTCTACCTCTCGTAGTATTCACAGAAGAATTGATTTACGAACAAGTAACAGATACATAAATTCGCTAATAACAGTAGGGACGATGAGGAACGTCTTAGAGTAATCTGTATTTGAAAATTTTAATGAATTTTCATGTATGTGAAACAACGAGACAGGAAAAGTTTTAAATTAATTAAATAGAATCTTTATTATGAAACAAAATGAACATACAGAAAGGATCACAGTCGATTATCTACTAGGTGATGTTTATATTGTTATGTATCTACTTGTTTGTTAATTTCCGGTAGAAATTCTTTCGAGGAACCTCAGCGATAGAAGTCCTTTCTTGATTAAACCAGTTTATTCTTCCTTGTAAACTTTTAGTACTGTTACGTCTCCGTTTGTTAATTGATTTTTCCGTAACTTTGTTCCGACGAAATTTTAACGACACAAGTCTTTACTTAATAAAACTGGTTTATTCTTTCCGAATATAACTTTACCGATACACTCAACTTCAACAATCGCGCTAAAACAACGCTATATCAACGAACGTCAATAATACTTCTGACTGCAGATCAATTACACACTGTCTACACACACACGTTACATTCCCCTCTTTTATATACCAGCTTACCCTCTATCCAGTAAGAACTAGAGCATTCGCCAAA